CTAAGACACTCACCACTAAGACACTCACCACTCACTCACCACTGAGACACTCACCACTGAGACACACACACACCACACACACCACACACATCGAGACACACACACACCACACACAACCCCTACATCTGAGACACTCACCACTAAGACACTCACCACTAAGACACTCACCACTAAGACACTCACCACTGAGACACTCACCACTAAGACACTCACCACTAAGACACTCACCACTGAGACACTCACACTCACTCACCACTCACTAACCACTAAGACACTCACCACTGAGACACTCACCACTAAGACACTCACCACTGAGACACTCACCACCAAGACACACACACACCACACACACCACACACAACCCCTACATCTGAGACACTCACCACTAAGACACTCACCACTAAGACACTCACTCACCACTAAGACACTCACCACTGAGACACTCACCACTAAGACACTCACCACTGAGACACTCACCACTAAGACACTCACTCACCACTAAGACACTCACCACTGAGACACTCACCACTAAGACACTCACCACTGAGACACTCACCACTAAGACACTCACCACTAAGACACTCACCACTGAGACACTCACCACTAAAACACACACACACCACACACAACCCCTACATCTGAGACACTCACCACTAAGACACTCACCACTAAGACACTCACCACTGAGACACTCACCACTAAGACACACACACACCACACACAACCCCTACATCTGAGACACTCACCACTAAGACACTCACCACTAAGACACTCACCACTAAGACACTCACCACTCACTCACCACTGAGACACTCACCACTGAGACACACACACACCACACACACCACACACATCGAGACACACACACACCACACACAACCCCTACATCTGAGACACTCACCACTAAGACACTCACCACTAAGACACTCACCACTAAGACACTCACCACTGAGACACTCACCACTAAGACACTCACCACTAAGACACTCACCACTGAGACACTGACCACTCACTCACCACTGAGACACTCACCACTGAGACACACACACACCACATACAACCCCTACATCTGAGAGTCGTACCACGCAACCTCCTTGCCCCTTGGAAGCCACCGAGCCATGGTGCTCGTCCCCCCCCGCCCGCCGCCGTAGCCGCACTCTGTTCGCGTGCATTGTTTGTGGTAAACACCGCTCCCTGCTCGCTCCCTGCGCCTGGCATTCGTCCAGACCGCTGCCTCGACACACGGGGCAGGCGGGCACCACGTGGGCACGCGCGGACGCGCCTCCGGCGCACAGACCTAATTAATAACGCGTAATGCAATACCGTGGCAATAATGCATTTTTTTTGCAACGACTTTGATTTCTTCGCCCGCACATCAACATCGCAGATTGTGCTCTTTGCGCGCTCTGGGTTGCCCTCTGGCAGGGTTTAGATGAAAAATGAACCCAAAACACACACACATCGGCGCAGGGCTTGCGAGGGGGAAGGGGCTCTTCACGTGGCGAGCTTCGCTCACCGAATTCGCGACGAGATAAATACCAGCACGCGCAAATTACCGCAGCCGTTGAAGCACGCGCACGCGCGCAATTGCATGACCCTGTAACCTCGACACGTGCTCAAATTTATGTACGAAAAAAATTATATATTTTTTGTAATATATGCATTACTTCCGTTAACATGACCACAGGGAATTGGGAAATATCAGCCATATGACTGTGGCCATATCGTCGGGGCTTACATTCGTCCGCGTCCGATCCGGGAAATCGTTCAGCAACCTCCGGCACACCACATCCAGTATACCGCTCTCGCTCGGTCCGTGGCTGCTAACGAAACCCGTGCCCCCTACGCCAGCCGGTCGACCAGCGACCCGGGGAAATATTCCGGGAGAAACAGAAGCCGCGGCTGTCGTGGTTCGACACAAATGGAAAACATTCTGGGACCTTAAGCCGCTGCCCGGCGACCACATCCGCTGGACCTCGTGACTCGGACGCTGAGCCGCGTGTTTGGAGGCTCCGCTTGACACTGAGCCGGGCTCTTATCGGGCTCAGGCTGACGGCTACGACGTGGCGTGGAGACTCCCCAAGCCTCATTAGCAGCAGCTACTGCCCGCGATCAGTCAACCTGCAGCAGCAGCAACACGGTGGCTAGGAGATGTTATCTCCCTCGCCTGGTATACCGCCGCATCCACTACGCGTCGCCATCGCCTCCTTCCCTGTGCCAGACGACGCGGCAGTGACACGGTCGACACCACTTGACCTCCAATATTCGGAACCTCAACTTCACCCCCCCACCCGCGGACGGGGAGTGACCCCCCCCCCCCCACGTATAGGGCGGTGCCCCCCCCAGCCCCCCCCCCGCCGCCGCCATCGTCATCAAAATGCACAACTTTAAATAAATATAGACAACACGTTCTACAGCATCAAAGTGCAGCGCCACATTAAATACGCACTACAATGACAATAGTTTAAAGCGATTTGAAGCGTGTTTTATTTTTTCGGGTGGGGGGGGGGCAGAGCTTTGTGACGTCATATTTGAGGAGTGGGGGGGGGGTCTGACTTTTTGTGACGCCGTGTGACGAAGGAGGGGCGGGGGGTCAAAATTCGTCCAAAAATCGCGTGACGTCATTTATGGACGGGCCCCAAAACGACATCAAAAGCGGAGCCTCCCCCGCTCCTCCTTCCCCCCCACTCCTCTCTCGCGCTCCTCGGCACGGCGACTCGCCTCTTCACTGCTCCGCTCGCATCTCCCTGCGTCTCTCCACACGATTCTCCACCCCCACCCCGACCCGCCCGCCCGCCCGCCACCCTTCATCCCCCACACCTCCTTGCATCTTCCCCTCTCTCCTCCCCAACACCTTCCATCTCAAAGGAACCTCTCCCCTCCCACAACCCCACCTCTCCCAATCCACCTCCCCCAATCACCTCCGCACTCCTCCCCGCCGCACGAGCATGCACCCCGACACCGCAGATCCATTCTCTCCGGGGTGAGCTGCGCAAATAAATCAATTAGGGCCGATGCGGCATCAGTCAGAAACGCGGCTCAATAAAAAATAATTAAAACAGCAGCGCGCGTTCCTGCGGCTCATAGCTGCTGCTGCTGCTGCCGCTGTTGTTGTCAACGTGGCCCGGCACCATCCCTCCTCCTCGGGGCACGAGTGTGAGCGGAGCGAGCGCCATGCCGAGGGGGGTGGACAGCCTCGACACGAGCTCGTGGATTTGCACGGCATCCGAACGCAGCGGCCGAGGTCTCGAGTCTCCCTCACAGCCCCCCGCCCCCCTCCTCCCCACGGGGGTGGGAGGGAGGGGGTGGAGTGGGGGGGGGTGGAGTGGGGGGGGGCACCCACGGACATCAAGGGACGGCGGCTGTGAGCGCGTGCGAGAAAGACACCGCGGGGCCAATTATCGTTTGAAGCGGGTTGATCAACCACCCCCCCACCACCACCATCCCCCCCAACACCCCCCCTTCCCCCTCTTCCCCCACCACCCCCGCCCCCTCATCCTCCTCACTTCAGTCGAGCCTCAGCAGGAAGCGAGTTTGAAAGACAAAACGCTAAATAAACTGCACGCCTTGTTGGCCACTTAGCGCGAACGGAATGGATTGCCGCTTTCCTTTCATGCGTTCGTAGGTAGCGGGGCCCTCTCTCGATTTCGGGCTTTGAAGCCGCAGTGCCGTGAAACAAGAGGGGGTTGGGGGGGGCGGAGGAGACGGAAACCGCTCGGTGGGGGGGGGGGGTGTCTCCTTAGCACCCACGCCCGCATGGACCCCCGAGGCTTTGACACCCAGCCACCGTTGTCACTTGCAACATCAAACCCCGTCCGCTCTGCCTCCACCCGTTTGATGGCACTCGGTGTGAATTTGCCAATTGCCCCGCGGTAAGTAACAAAAAATTCCTGGCTTTTATGTGCGCTGGCAACCCACCCACGCCTCTGCGTCGCTCGCCGCTCAATCCATCCGTCAGAAAAGGTCGCACGTCGCTAAGCTAACGTTACACGCAGCTGCGTTCGGAGCAAGAGAGTTATGGGATTTGGCAGCGCGTTCAGGAAGGGAATTGTTACGCGTAGCGAACGTAACACGATTCGACCACCACCCCACCCCAACCCCTCCCCACCTCCAATTTCATTCCCTTGGACGTGGCCGGGATGGCCACTCCGCTGGCAAGGCGCGCGAGCCGCACTAGCGAAGCAAGTCACCGAGAGGAGTGCGAGCCAGCTCATCCCAGATCGTCGCCCACCATCAGTCGCACGTAGGCCGACTCGGTGCTCGAATTAGAATCTGGTGTGATGTGTAACAAATATCGTCACTGGGCCAGGCGTGGTGTTTGGCCACCCCACCTCCTCGTGTGCCGTACCGGCCTTTTGCACCTCCGATTGGCACGGTTGGCTACGTACGGTGCGAAAGAAGTTCTACATACACACATCGCTCGCCTGGTATACAGGTCGTGAGTTCGTTTCCGACCCCCGACGCCTGCGTATTTGGAGTTTGCGTGTCTCTATCTCCCCCATGGTCGCGTGGATATTTCTCCGGATCCGCCGGGGTGTTCGCTCCACATTTAGAAACATGCGTTTAGAGTATTTGGCTGCAATACATTTCCACACGATAAGCCACTCTATCATTTGTGGCCAGGTCGCTCCTGAAAAAGAGCCATATAGCTCATTGGGCCTGACCTGGTAACTACAAGTCAAGTTTTAGTTCACCTCCTAACACAATGCACTCTCAGACGGGAAGGAGCGCCAAGCATCGGTCGGCAATGCACTTTGCCAAATGCCCATCGCTTGATTGATTTGACGTGTAAAGGAAATCCCAAACACCAGCATCATCATCACCACGACCGCCACCGCCACCACGACCACCTCCGATGACGGTGAAAGAGCCGAGTGGCCGTGTACAGAAAGCGAAATGTCAACATGAACGAGGGACATCTCCAAGCGCAGCGAGGCACACCACGCACTTTATTTAATAAAGGCGAGAAAGTGAGATATTAAGGAGACCAAACGTAAATGTACTCCATTCGAATATATCTTTATTTTCATCCAAGATACTAAATTCGTTCTTTGAATTTAATAAGGCAGCTCATTAAACCCGCAGGAGAAAATGAAGCAGATGTCTTTAATAATAATAATGAGCTCACTGGAACTGGTTGTTTTTTGCAACTGATGAATCGCCACTGGCCCATCAAATCACTTTCATCAAACTGGGCTAATCGACGCTCGCGGCCGCACGTTTCCTGTGTACCTGCACAAACATTTACACATGGCACATGGCGGTACGCGCGTGCACGCGTGTGAAAGACACCACAGCAACAGCACGAAACAAGGCGCGCGCCACATTAACATGGCAATGCTCGCTCGCTCGCTCTCTCCAGCACTCGGCTGGAATCTCGTTTCCACCAACTCAAACAAACAACACGTGGCAGTTTAATAAAATATGGGTAGTAACGATGAACTTGGGAGGAATCGTTCAATATGGGGCGCGAAGTGACGTTCAATATCAGTGTAACGTTTATTGTTGACGGAGGGACCAGTATAAGCATAGACAGATCAGTACCCCGCGCGTCTCGCTGCAGGGTCATCCCAGGAGACCCACACGCGCACACACACACACACAAAGATCCCCCGTGTAGCCTCACAGACGGTGGGGGGCAAGTGCTGTTAAGCGAGAACCCATCGCAGCTGGCACTGTGCACGTAGCGGTGGTGAGCGCCACCACCACCACCACGGGCCGTGTTTGTCTCTCCCGTGCTGGTGTTTACACGCCATGCCAGGTTAACTCATTTAAGGCCGAGTCAACCTAGATGAGGCCCAGGACAAATGAAGACACCACTCTCCACCGAAGCAGTGTTTTAATCGAATTCAGTTTGTTGCAAACGTCCAATACTGTGCTAACCACTGCACGACCACTACTCACACACACACACACTGCCACACCACAGCACACCAACCAAAGTTCGATTCTTGGCCAAAGCGAACAATATCAGCGGAAAGCGAGATCTCGACCTGTCCAGGGCCTCTCCTTAGTTGGTCGCACGCTTGAAACAAGTACCTAGTGTGGCGTGTAAACAAACGCGCCAACACGAGACGTCCTCCTGTGCGCACGGTGTCACTCGCTCTTCCCGTCGGCAACGAGCCACGGGGAACCAACCGCCGTCGGGTTCCCCCCCCCCCGGGGCCCCCGTCGGGGACCTCACGCGCTGGAGCCCTCGGTGGAGGCGGTGGTGTCATCGCCAGGCTCGCGGAAGTACTGGCGCTCGACGCGCTGGCACAGGTCGGCGAGGTTGGGGTAGGCGCGCACGAGCTCGGGGAGCGTGTCGCTCGACAGCTCCGTGGTGAGCAGCGTGAAGAGGTGGCCAAACACCAGCGCGTCCAGCTCCGTCGGCCTAGAGGATGGTGACGGGGGGCAGGGGGGTGAGGGGTGGGGGCACAGACAGCGGCGATAATAGTCATCGTTTGCCAAGACTGGTGGCGCTGAAGCTTCGCACAATCACCCCCCCATCTCCACCTCCCTCACCCTCGGAATGGAAATGTGGAATTTAGGCCACCGGTTCAATGACGAGGGTCGAGATACCGGCCGCTCCGTGGCGGCGTGGGGGCGCTTTCACCCGGGGGGGGCTTGAGTTCTCACCGAATATTTTCCGGGTTGGTGGTCGGGGCTTGCGTAGGGCAGTGACGTCGCGTGGGCCACAGACATTGATTGGCAAGAGGTATGCTGGATGCGGCGTGGGCGGTGTGTGTGTGTGTGCGCGCCGTGTGTGTGAAAATAACGTCCCCGGTTCACCGACCCCCCGGGACAGAAACGAAGCTCTGCTTTGAGCCGACTTTGATTGACTCAGCTGCGGGCGGGGGCCGGCAGTCAGTCACTAACGAGCCAAGGAGAACAAAAAAAAACATCCACTCCAGTGTTTGTGGAAACTCCACTCAATAAAGAAAACAACGTAAAAGCTTAAACTGTACTGTCAGTAATTTACCTTATTTAATGCCTCCACATGGGTGTGTAAATCGTGCGCATGAAGCTACTGCCAAGAAACGTTTGGGGCCATCAATGTTAAAGAGCCATAAAAGCAATAATTAATGACCTCCTTACGCAGCCGCGCTGTAAACTGCAGCCTCCTCTCGCCGCACAGGGCCAACGGACGGGGCGACCAACATGCGCACGCGCGGCCAAGCTCTAAAACCCACTTGTCATATTTCCCAACAAATTACCAAGGTCACACACAAGAGGCGGGGGGGGGTGGGGGTGGTGGTGCTGTGGTGGAGGAGGAGAAGGGGTAGGGATGGGAGCGGGGCGGGGTGGTTGGGGGTAGTGAGGGAGAGAAAAGCACACAGTAGCCAGTATTTACACCGACCTCAACGGCGGCGGGGGCACATTATAACCACTCCCAAGTCTGCACCTTTGCAGTCTGATGAATGGCCGAGCGCCCCAGCTGTCTGCGGGGGCCTCTTGCAGCCGGCGCCGCGGAAAAAATGGAAACGGGCGCGCAGAGGGGGTGGCCGCGGCAATTCTGAGTTTCCCGGGGTGGCGGCGCTAGGAGCGCCGATCGGAGGCTCAACATTCCTTGGCACCGAGTGTGCGAGCGAGCGAGAGAGAGAGAAGGGGGGACAGACACGCGGCCGGTCCAGTGGCTCCCCCTTTATTAAACAATAACGGCGAGCCTCACGCCGCGGCCAGCACAAAAGTGATACGACGTCACGCGCGATTTCTCTCGAGCCTCAATAGCACTCTTGGGAGGGTCTCAGAAAAATATGCGAGCCTAGGAATGGGGGGGGGGGCGACCTGAAAAAGGTACAGGTTACCAACTCTGGGGGGGCGGGAATGATGCATTTCAGTTCAAGTGAACTACAGCGCTATTATAGCCGTTAACGCCGGCGCAGATTAACGGCTCGCAGCGAGGTGCTGCCTTTCTCCATGAGGCACCGATACCATCCCCCAAGCCCCGAGGTGCTTGACCAAACCAAGACCCACCCCAAGGCGAATTCCCTCTCCTCCACGCGTAATTCAGCGTGTGTGTGTGTGTGGCGCTCGCTAACAGCACTTGCCCCTACAGTCTGTTAAGGCTATACGGGGGATCTTTGTGGCGGTGTGCAGCGGTAGCGTAGCGGTCAGCGCGCTGCGCCATCAACCCGGCGACCCTAGTTCTATTCGAGCTCACGCCAAACACACGTGACGATTATCTGAACCGGTCATGGGCCTCCCGTAGGTCGACTCGGCCTGAAATGAGTACCTGGTACGGTGTGTAAGCACCTGGGGAGACAAAGGCGGTGTGCGTGGTGCTCACCACCCACCTTGATAGGTGCTCGCGAACATCAATTGCCCCAAAAGGCTCTTAAAGGTGGTGTGTGTGCGCGCGCCTGCTGTTGAGAGCAGAGCTGCAATGGTTTGCAGACTGCGCTACCAACCTGACGACCTGAACACAATTCCTGACCTTGGATAACGTCGGTGGCGAGTGACGTCTTAACCGTTCCTGGGTTCTCCCTAGGTGTGTAAACGTCAGCAGCAGAAAGGCAACGGCGACCGGATGTGCTGCTGGCCACACCACCCCCTCATGTGCTGTGTTGGCCGCAATAAATGCTCAGTTGCAGCCCTTAAGAGTCTGCCATTTTTGTTCGTACGTTTGTGTGCATGCTAAGTCGTCAATTGGGGCCTGTGCCATGATCACCCTACCAGCGAGCTTTCAACACTTGACGTGACCTCAACGTGCATCTAGCCTGGCACCAGTGCCGATCGTTTGCCGCTGTTGTTGCTGCTGTGTTGTTGTTGTTGTTGTTGATGATGATGATGATGTGCTTGAGATAATGCGCGTCTCACTGGCGGCCGAAGAAGTAGGCCTGAGATCCGAGCCGAAGCGACAGCGCTCGCAGACACTGGTTCACCTCGTCATGCACCTGCGCGGGGAGGGGGGGAGGAGGGGAGGAGGGGGGGAGGAGGGGGGGAGAGACGGACGCAGCACGTCAGACGGGGCCGCACGCGTCGCCATCACGGCTACAAATTAGGTGTCGCCCGTCGCTATTTATAACTGGCCGAGAGCTCGTTAAGACGAAAGAAAGTGTCTTTGCGTCAAGACGCTGGGATTGAAAGGGCAAGAAAAAAACAAGCGCAGTAGGAACATTCGCCACCGAAAACACAACGGTAAATACCGATATACTTCCATTTTTTTTTTTCCACCAGATAAGGCCCACGAAGCTATACAGCTTTTTTGCAGAAGGCAACACAGGGAGAACATGCAAACTCCAAATATAGAGGCGTCAGGGTCGGGATCGAACTCATGATCTCCTGTATACCAAGCGAGGTAATTAACATCTCACTACCACAATTTATGACCGTCATGTTACATCCCAACATCAATTTGCACATCGACACTCACAGTGCACTGCCACAACACAAGCGCAAGCCCATCTTTTCGTCCCGTGCAATGTGCGTTCCAAGGGAACAACACTATTCGGACTTCGCCACGACGATCGTGGCAGCCTCGCTCGGGTCAGGGAGGCAGGAACCGGTGATGACGACGGCCCTGAACTCGTGCTGCCGAACCCAAGCCCCTCTCGTAGGCCTCGCTCAACCAACAACTAACTGGGAGAGGCCACACGCATATCAGAACACGAGTGACGGTTGCGAGATTTTCAACAATCGCGTTAAAGGCCACATAAGACGGGGCAAGTATTTTTGTATAACTCCTCGTGCAGTCGCCGGGACATGAATAAGCATCTGTCCAGAACAGGCGCCAGAAATATGACCCCTCGAATAACATAAATGGCTGGGTAATTACTCAGGGAGAATACGGTATTCTGTTTGGAAACAGCAGCCTATACAAACACTCTTCTTCTCGAAAAGCGTTTGGACCATTTATCCTCCCCACATTAGCAAACATCATTAGCGGAGTCCTAATGATACAAGCACAGGGCCCCCCACCCACCCACCCTCCGAGTCAAGCTGCAGGGGGTTCTATCGCAAAACCCGGCGCCAGCAGCACAACCGTGCAGAGGCGCTTCAAGGCAATCGCCGCTTGTCTGGCCCCCCGTAGCGCTGCGCCAGCCGGGCCCAGCGGGACTGGCGTGTCAGCGGCTGGAGGTGCAAGGGCTGCGCCAGATGCCAGCGCCGTGTGTTCACATCCACGCGCGGGGGCTTCCCAAGCGGCCTCGGCTGCAGTGCGCTCGATAGCAGCGAAACCGCCGAGACGTCACGGACAAAGCTCAGCCGGGGGGACGAAATGCCACCCCCCCCCTTTCAGTATGAATGTTGAAATGTTTTCGCACCGCACGTAGCCAACGAATTGGGAGGTGCTGGGGAAGAACCACAAACTGAACACAAAAAGAATGCAGCTTTTTTTAGGTTAGATCGCGTAAATATATAAATGTGTCGTTAAACCCGCCACCACCTGACACAGCCAATTAGTAAGGTGTGTTACGTAAACAGAACGTGGCCAATTCGTTACTAGTACAGCAACTCCGGTGTGTTGGAGAGCCAAGCCACAACATTTATAAACGACGTTTCAAAAGAAATTACAACTAGCTTCATCAGGCGACAGCCAGATTTGTGGTGGCGGGTTTAACAACACATTTATATATTTACACGACCTAACCCATAAAAAACCTGTATTATGGATGATAAACTAAACACAAAAAGTAGTTCCAAAGAAATTAGATTTCAAAGTGCATAGCTCCAGCGGCTTCCTAATATCGGAAGGAAGAGCATTCCACACAGCACCACCGAGCTGAAACTCCCCTCGCACTCCGACAGATGTAACGCACGCACGCGCACACGCGCACACGCGCGCATGCAAAACCGCAGGCCAACGAACGCCGCTATCCCCACACGGGCACGGGGGACTCGCCTGCTCCGGGGTTTTGCTGGCCCAGCTGAGGGCCTTCATCTTGCGCCGCACCTCCCACTGCTTCTGGTAGGCGAGCAGCCGGTTGAGAGGCCAGGGGTAGGGGGAGCCGTACCGTGGTCGGCTGATCTGCGCCACGACGGAGAGAGACAACATTCCCCGTTAAGCCTTTCCCGTTCCGAGAGGTCTGTGCAAGTTGCAGGGTGTGGGGGTCCCGTTGACCTCTGCATCTCAAAACGCGCAAGCGGCTCGGCCTTCATTTTATTTATAGAGGCGTAGTGGCGCCGTTATTTTTAAAGACATTGTACTCACCGCACGGAACTGTAACTACACGACCGCACTCTGACAGCTGGCCCAAAACTTTGCTACATGTCCTACCACACGGCCTTGTGGGAGCCTCGGTACTGATAAAGTTAAATTATAAAAAAAATTCCTTCCGGTTTTGTTTAATGATGTACACATACGTCATCGAAACGGAATCAGAAGAAAAACTGATGGCGTACACGTACGTCATCGGAACGAGAAAGGGTTTAGCCTCGACGGATTGCGGGCACAAGGTGGCGGGCGGGGGGGGGGGCAGCAGAACACCAGCGACACTGAAGGCCCCAGCGATTTCCTTGTGAGGATTTAGCGTGCAACACTTCCGGCCGACAGGGATGTCAGGGGGCTTCACTCTCTCCAATAATAGGCATGCGTCTTAAAAAACCCGACATTTAATTACTGCACGACAGAATTTGGATAAAGCGCTGAAATGCGATTTATCTCAAGACGCCGTCGTACAGATAGGGGCTAGAGAGAAAATTGAGATCAGTGATGGATGGAAGAGAACAGGAGACTCTTGAGCCTGGAATTCGACAGGTTACCTAAACCTATTTTTATCTGCCCAGGTATATAGATATTTTTCAGAAGTGACCTGGCCACAAGTGATCATTCAATGGAGTAGCTTATCACGTTGAAATTTATAACAGCCAAATACTGCAAACGCGTGTTTCTAAATGTGGAGGGAAAAACCGAAGGACCTGGAGAAATATCCACACACGACCACGGGGAGAGAGAACACGCAGACTTCAAATATACAGGCATCAGGGTCGGGGTTCGAACCCAAGACCTCCGGTAAACCAGGCGAGAGAGATAACATCTCGCCGCCAGGTGAAGGCTCTCGCCATTGCGGAAGGCCAAGAGACAGAAATTCCAGACTGTGGGAACAGCAGAACGAGGGGTGACCCCCCGTCAACAGCAAAGGCCGACAGGTTGTTCACACAGGGGCTTGGCTGGTGTGGCGAAGATGACCACGGCTACGGGAGCAGAGCACAACCTAACAACCTACCCTAAAAAACAGAGGCGTTACGATTCCTTATACGGGTGCTCGGGGCCTAAAGGTTGTTGAGTTCTCCCTATGGTACGCAGCGGTGCGGGGTTGTGATCAACTCTGCGAGCGCTGACACTGGCCACAGCGCGCCGGCGAGTCTGCGTTCCCAGGGCAGGCACCGCGCCACGAGCGTGCGCCACTCACCTCCTTGCACGTGGTGTCGTCGCACCACAGGATGTAGAGCTGCGGGAAGAGACACGGCGTCCCGTTAAAGAGGCGAACGCACGTTGTACATACAAACGTGCGCGTGCACAAACGTTTTAAAACTAGATCAGGTATAGCCCTTTGTTGTCCAATCGGCTGCTCGACGAAGGCCTCCCCCCCCTCCCTTGCCGTGTCAGTCACGGGGGTCGATTGACACCAACTCGCCATGCTGGTCAGTGCGGGCAGCCGAAGGGCAGCGGTGACCCTGAGGGACCAGTCCGTGACCCGCGACTGACCGAGAATCCGACTCACGGCTGCGGGCTCGCAGCAACGCGCCGTGCCACTGCTGCACCTTACGGGGACCAGGGGAATCCAAGCAGCAGCAGGCGCGGCGCACCTACGGGAGAGTCGAATAATCTACGCGAGCCGCGAGCAGATCCCGACATCTCGCGGCGTCGCGCACGCGGGCGGGCGGGAACTCGCGGCGGTCAAGAGCAGAGCGAGATGCATCACGTCTCCAATTACCGTTGCCGGGTCCCGAGAAGCCCTCTCCCCCCTGTTTCCGCCGAGGCGATGTAAGCCAATTAAAGGCGCGTCGCCGCCGCGCCACCGACATCGCATGTCAATGCGGCAGGTCGGGCAATCAAGCCGGGACTCTGCGAGGGGGGGCGGAGGGGGGTGATTGGGCGGAGGGGTGGTGGGTCGCGATAAGACATTCTGCCAGCCAATTCCACTTGCACACCGACCGTGACCTCGCTCGCTCTGATCGACAACAGATAACGCCCACTCGGGCGGAGAGAATCCTCGCGCCGAACGGTTTCCGACGATCGATCGCGCGCCCATCTCGGCCAACTTCCTCACTCTTTTGTTTCACAAAGCCTCGCCGAGCGCCACCGCTCCCCGATGGCACGGTTTCCTCGTCGGAGACCACGGGTCAGCGTTTCGCTCGTGTGCCCGGTGTGGTGCTGGGTGTTTCTGGTCACTCGACATGCCGGTTTTGTCGTCCGAGAAGGCGATATTGTCGGGCTCGCGAGAAACGATCGGAAAAGAAGGCATTCAAGTCGGCCGTCCAGCAGAGTCCCCGAGCAAAGCCACGTCGTCATGCGACGCTGCGCAAAATTCTACGTTTCGCATCGCTCTGTAACCTTGGTAGCTACGATCCCATCAAGCTGTGTAATAATGTACCGGCAGCAAAAATACGCCGCCTTAAGACGAAAGTTGCACCTGACGTACGATCAGGTCTCGCTGCACGCGGTTGCCAACCGACTTGGTGAACCAACGCTGAGACAAGGCAGAGCAGCTTCGTCACCGGTCTGGGCAGAGGCATAAGCTAAGACACTCATCGCCGCAGCAACACTAATAACTTATCATTGCATCACTCGTCACCACGGTACTAATAACTTCTTATCGCATCACTTACTGATGGATCGCTGCATCACTCATCGCTTCCTCGCTCATGACTGCAGCTCTAATAACTCGATACTGCATTACTCATCACTTCATCTCCTATCACTACAGTACTAATAACTCACGACCGGGCCACTGATCACTGGCTCTTTCACCAAGGCATCACTCATATCACTACAGCAGTCATCATTATATCGTTGCATCGGCCACAGCTACAGCAGCTGCAGCAGCGGGCAGTAGCAGCAGCAGCCGCGCCTATCCTGCCCCATCGCAGCACGGACACCGCACCATCGCGCCAGACACCGCGCCGTTGCAGCGCCGGTAAGCGACGCTCGAGGCGGCGTTCCGGAGAATTGGGAATCGGCTTGGGGTCTGTGGCATGTGCGGCGTCACGGCGAGGGTTGCGGCAAGGGTCGCGGCGAGGGTCACGCGGGGTCACGGCGAGGGTCGCGGCGAGGGTCACGCGGGGTCACGGCGAGGGTCGCGGCGAGGGTCACGCGGGGTCACGGCGAGGGTCGCGGCGAGGGTCGCGGCGAGGGTCGCGGCGAGGGTCGCGGCGAGGGTCGCGGCGAGGGTCACGCGGGGTTGCCGCTCACCTCGGCGGTGAGAAGAACATTGTTCACCAGCTCCATGTAGGCCTTCATCTCTGCCTTCTGCTGTTCGTCCAGGCTGCTGCTCAGGCAATGGCCCTGGCAAGCCCACACAGCACACAGGTCAGAAGGGGGCATATATATACACACACACATCATCACGATGCATGCGTGGATGGCATCCTGTGCGCAAGAAACGATTATTTCCGACTAGGTTATGTTGTATGTGTGTTTAATTGGGTTCATATGACCCCTGCGGCCTCGAGTGACCGCTCTACAATCACCGCAGTGTAAAAAAAGATTCACAGCTCGAACTATGAACCTGAATTAATCAGACCGCCAGGCAGGTGGGGGTATTCCACCTCTGACACAATCAACACAAGCACTGATATATCCACACTTCTCACCCCCACATCACACCCACATCACATCCAGATCTCTCACACACACAACACACAATCAACACAAGCACTGATGTATCCACACTTCTCACTCCCACATCACACCCACATCACATCCAGATCACATCCAGATCACACCGAGCTCCCACCCAGATCTCTCACACACACAACACACAGCACACCGATATCACATTGAGATCACACCAAGGTCACACCGACATGACGCACACCACCACACCGACTGCTGTGCACAGACTGTGCTCTTTCTGTATGCCGTCTGCATCGTGCACATAGCGGCTGCGACACGGGCTGCGTGCACGCGCTGTTAACGCTGTGCAGAGGATATCTGCTGGACTGGAAAAATTAAAATCAAGTCTCTAATAATAATCTGTCGCCGTCATCATCGTCCACCATTAACCACTGCTGCACGAAGGCCTCCCTGGTGGCGGGTTGAAGGACACTTATATTTACGCGATCTAACCCCCCAAAAAAAACCTATATTGTGGATGATATTGGTCGAGAAAGCCAACGCGTTAAACTGAGGCCTCCCTGAGCCCCTCGCAGCCTGTCACAGCCCTGCAATGTAAACAATTCACCCACCATCTGAGGCACGAGCCAATTCTACAGTAACAATGATTAACAATTGTAAAAAAAACGAACAATAATTAACAAATGCAATACTTTAACACGAAAATAAAACCAAGCGTTTCTTAACTACAAGCGAATCTCCATCGTAATTATCACCTACATTATCAATGCAATTATGACCTGAACGGGATAAAATTACTGTTGTTGTTATTATAATTCTAATCATCCACGCTACAAATACGCGATTCTCTTGCACAGTATTGTTAGCATGCCAAGGCAAAGACCCCCATATAGCCTTCACAAGCACTTCGGGCAAGTGCTCTTAGCGAGCATGCGAGGGGGGGGGGCCAGCACAATGCCCGAACGCCTTTGTCTCCCTACTGGCGATGCTTACACATTGCACCAGGTACCCATTTGAGGCTGAGTCGACCTAGGGGAGACCAAGGGCCGGTTCAGATAATAGTCACTGGTGCTTGGCGTGAACAGGAATCGAACTCGGATCGCCGGATTCGTAGCATGCAAAGGCAAAGATCCCCCGTATAGCCTGAACAGACTGTTCAGGCAAGTGTTGTTAGCGAGCACCTATGAAGCATTCATAGCATGCACAAATACGCACCAGAGCCTTCGAGCCGATCACTCACTATTTCAAACGCACGGAGCGAGCCATGGACACGTGTACGCACACAGGATTGTGGCACAGAAACTGAGCGACGCTGGGAAATTATCAACATTTCACCCACTTGTGCCCTCTCCTTATCCAGGAATGGGACTAATGCATTTGTGACCAACTCTCCTCGCGGTGAGTAGCAGCAGCAGCAGCAGCCGCACGGCTCGTCGCTTTGTACGCATGCACTCTGCACCCGGGACCTCGGCAGTCAATTGCAGGCGGAATGTAAACACCGGCTATTTCATTATTCAGCAAGAGCGGCTCCAGGCAGCAGCGGTGGTGATGCAGGCCGGCCCTCCCCTGCATTACGGTGGAGTGGGGGATGGGGGGGGTGGGAGCTACGCAAATCATGGGCTGCCACACATACACACGTGTGCGCACGCGCGAGCGCGCGCGTGACTCGTTACCTAGCTCTCGCTGGTGCTCATTAAAATTTCACCGCTGTTTTTTTTCTTTTGGCCACAACAACATTTGCATCGGAATTCCTTTTTTTTTCCCGACGATTTAAATATATCGGTAACAGCTCATCATCCCTCCATGGGCTAATAACGTGAATACTCAATGCCTGCCATAGAAATGTGGAATTTCCCTTATGGGGAGGGCTCAGGGCCACTCGCAGAGTGAGCGTGTCCAACGCTCGTTAATGTAATACCGATACAGACTAATATTCAAAATACTTTTTTATACTACAATATAACTAGCGGTAAAGATGAACACGTACAATACGTTGAGCATCGTATTTCTGTTATCTCCGCCTGACTGAACTGCAGACGATTAGGAAGAGAGGTGATGATGACAATGTTGACGTTGATGATGATGATGATGACGATAACGACAAGGAGCGCCACCGCTGCCGTACCTTTGCCTTCACAAACTGCACGATGGGACCCAACTCGGAGACCACGTGGTTCCCAACGTGGATGAAGGGCACCTTGCCTGCAAGAGAGCGTAGCAGCCCCAATCACCACCGCCGTTCTCATTCTTAAACGGGTTGTTTATCGTCATCGTCGTCAGCCGTCGTCAATCCACTGCTGGATGAAGGCCCCCCGCTCCCCCCACCAACCGCCACTATGGGTTCGTTTAGTTATATGGGTTTTAAAAATGAAATCTTCTTTAAAAAATAAAAAACATTCTGCCTGACCCAATTTTCAAGACTCTCATATTGACATATTGAGACTTTAATGCAGGAATTTAATTCAGTCGCAGCTTGTTCACATCATAGGCTTTAACAATACTGCACAATGAAGTTGAAGACTCTATAAGTGAACGGTGCATGAGCATCACAGACACTTGTCTTATTAAGCGAGCGACTTATTACATTTGGTTAAATATGGCAGTTCCTAAAATGGTAAGATGTTGACAGCGAAATGTATAAATCCTCGTTTGAGCTTATGTTGATGGATTTCACAGTTTAAAACATTTTTTTAAAGACAATTTGCATGCAAACGAACACCCACCCACCCAAAATGCAAGTGGCGAGCGCATTTTGCAAAAGCTTGGAATTTATCGGACTTCCATTGTTCAGAGCCATTAGTTTCCAGAAGAAACAAAAGTAAAGGCAATTAACCTCAGCTAAAGGAATGTGAGAAACAAACCCATAAAAGACTAAAGACAGGAACAAAGGGATGCAAGGCAGATGGCTAAACGCACGGGAGACGGGGCGCTGCGACAAAAATATCATCACAAAGATGGGGGGGGCTCTCGACCGCTGGCCCCTGCGTACACTTTGCCCCGTTTGCGCGGCCAAATTTTCCCACAGCCTCGAGAGAGAGCGCCGTTACCTGGTGCTCGGATGAACCGGGGAGGTGGGGGGGGCAGGGGGGGGGGGGGCGGGCGGTCGTGGGGGGGGGGGGGGGCAGCCCCGCGCCCGCTGCCCGCTGCCTCACCTTTTCCCTCTGCCTGACCCCGGCCCGCAAACACCCACGGCGCCGAATACTGATGAGGCTCGCGACGGTTCAATAGAGTCCATCCGATCAACCTCAAGGGCAGCGCATACATTAGGCACCGCCGGGGCTCGGCGTCCCCCCCCCCCCCCCCCCCCCCCGGTAATGAGACGGGGCCGCGACGGCGCTCGCTCGCCATCGTCGGCGGCGGCGTAATGAGAATTTAAATATTATCTAATAGGCCCTTAATTATCGAACTCAAAGTTCCAATTGAGTGCACTTTTTAAGTATTCCAATTACGCTGGCGCAAGTTAATGTTTTAAATCGAACCATTTACTGGCATCCCGCGACGTAGTGGCGAGGCGGACGGGGAGTTGTGTGCTTGCTTTCTTGTTTCTCTCTCCGGCCGATCCGTCCTTCGCCGCCAGCCTTCATCGCGGCCGGAATCCTGTTGCTCGTTACCAGCCCCCCCACCCCCCTCTTCGGAATCAACAGGAGGCCAGTAGTTTTATTTTTTACCTTTATGCCCAACGAAGCCGGCGTACATCCCATCTGGCCCATTTGCAGGCAAAGTTAATTTATCGTTCGTCGCCTCTGATGAGCGGCGGTTGGGCTACGTATGGCGCGAAAGAAGTTCACCATACATACAAATTGGCCGCTTAACTCTACTACGGAAAAATCTGCATATGCGTCCGCGCATGCTCACAAGCGTCCGGAGATGGATGCGAAACGGCGGCCATTACCATATTATGTATAATGTATGGCGCTCCTCTGCGAGCGTTTCGCAGCTCCGTGCGTAGCACCTGCTAGGGCCGGACGGAGATGCAAGAGGGATAGAGCGCGGGTGGGGGGGGGGCATCACTCTGCGCCGGTGACAGCCCCACACGGTCACGCAGAGTTCAGCGGCGTGCGCGATTCTCCGCGAGTTTGCGTGACGCTCTGCTCACCTCCCGTTCACCCTCTGTCGCCGGGCGAACACCAGGGCCTCGCCCACTCGCCAGCCGCCGCCACGCCGCCATTCTTTATCATTATCCCTTCCCCCGGCGCGAGAGAAATGGGGAGAGAGCTCAGCGACCAATCCTCGCCGGTGCGATTATTCCCTGATTAATGCGCCGCCTCCGAACGGACCGGAGCGGTGAGGTACCCAATTAGTCTTGGGCTGCTGCTAAGGGCCCCCGGACCTGCAGTCGGGTTTGATATTAAGTTGTGACATTTTCCAGTGACCTTTTTGGTTTTCTCTTCCACCATCGTTTAGCATTTAACAAATGTAACGTTCCAACACGGGCGCTAGTCCGCGTGACCTTTACAGCTGATTAATTCTTCCCAACTTTGCTTTTCTCAATAGTTACCGTTAATAATTAGCAGCCGCCACCGTGTTTTAGAATTACGCTCGAATATCTCAATTCCTCCGGCTTCTCAGCCTGCAAAAGGGAAGGGCTCGAGTTTTTCTATTCGTACCGGAGCAATACAACGAGACGCTGCGACGAAGGGAATTCTGACGGATAAATTACGGCAAAGTGACTGTAAAAACTGCATCAATTTACACGACCGTTTCCCCCAAGCATAAAGTCAAGCGAGTATTAGAAAATACATTGTAATTTACCGCGGCACTAAAACTGATAAGCCCAATTAAGTCACAAAGCACAATGGCAATGAGGCAATTGTGATAACGACTGCTTTAGAGTTCATGAACTTCCTAAGCACATTCACGCTGACAATGAATGCAGCAGCCACTGGACCCGAGAAGAGAAATTGGGGTAAGAGAGTCAGGCTGGCTGCCCACAGCACCCCACCCCCACCATGCACTCCCGCCCACCCACCCGCCCGCCCACGAGCCCGCCCTGCGTGCGTGCGTGCATGGGTGCGTGGGTGCGTGTCTGCACGTCGAACTCTCGCTCGCTCCCTCTTTCTCTCGCGCGCGCGCGCACCCTCGGGCTGACGTATCGCAGGCGCCACTAAGCGCCGTCGTTCTAAAGAAACGAAAGGGGGGGGGGGGGGCAGAGAAACCCCACGGCGGCAGCTCTCACCGGAAGGGGACATCTGCTCGGCGTTGGGCCGGTAGACCACGTACACGGGAAGGCTGCACATCCGCAGGAAGGCCTGCGGACGGGGGCCGACAGAGCGCACACATGGACACGCGCGCAAGCACGGAGCGCCGTTCACCCGTTGCGGTGCAGTCACGGGGCAGCGAGACGCCAAATGACCCGCAGCCACCGCCGCAGCCACTGCCGTGTAATGATCGTCGCTGAAGGTCAAGGGGTCACGGCGCTAACCCTGCGTGCGTCTGCTGGAATTCAAGCTCGCTAAATATTTTGTTTTAATTAGGCGTGAGCGCACACGTCGCTGCCCCTTTCATTATCAATCCAACACTGGACGAGGGGGGCCTCCCCCACACCGTGTCGTGTGCGGGTGGCGAGGGCTATTTGACCATACTTCGCCATGCTCATCGGTACAGGCTGGTGCAGGCAAGCTGCGTAGGCGTGGGAGCGCAGGAGTGCAGTACAACAAATTGACGTTGCCGCACCGCCCTCTGCTGCCCACCACGAGGACAGAAATAAATAAATGCACGTTATCGTAAGCAAACAAAAAAAGAGCCACAGCGAGCAATTTTTTCCAATAGCAAATATCGCGCCGACCGTGTAGAGAGCGTGTGAAATATAGAGCGCGTATAAAACCATCAACGAAAATAACTCGGCGACGCTGAGATAGCATCTCTTGCGGGAACACTTCCACTTTGACGTAAAGACATTGCCGCCCGATATCGCAAGCCGCGAGTTACGGAGACAGATGCGTGTTGATTACATCACAGCCATCACCTTGTTATTTATTTCGTATCATATTCCTATATATATAGAGTTCCCCGGTTACATATATTGCAAAAACAACACAGTGGAATGACATTTCCCACACTTCAGATGCTTATGCCGTTTAACCTGCATCTGCAGCAATTCCACAAATTTATATTTCCGTGCGATTCCCAACCTGGTTTGCAAATGTCCAATAAAACCAACACCGTTAATACCAATGACCTGGAAGCGCGGCTGTTAACAACCGCGTCTAATACAAGTGCACCGTGTTTACGGCCCCGTCTGTCTGACCCAAGCAGGCCGCTAACGAGGCACAGCTCGCGACCATTTGCACCGCCGCCTAATTAATCGGGGAATTACTGAGATGGCCGGACTTGTAAAGCCTAAAAAAAAAACCCGTTCCTGCCGATCACAGCCAATATTTGTGTTAGCAATGGCTTTCCCACGATTTCTAAATATAACATGACAAGCAAAAATAAACTTAAAACAAAATATTGGCCCGATTGTTTTTGTCTTAATAAAGCAGGGCCCTGGGTATATATACATATACAACAGTGCGGCACTAAATCACACAGCAATGAATGACACTTGTTAATGACGTCACGTTTATATACTTCATATCACGTTTCATTTAGTTAATGTGCTTTTTACACTGCTGCACTGCGTCACCGCACTGCTATAAAAGCATTCTCCCCGTCGTATTACTTCCTCAACGCTGCCGCCGCCGCCGCCGTGAAACACCGCAATTGATATTCGCGTTTGCATTGTTGACATTCCGCTGCATTGTAATTATTTTTGTATAACACAGCGCAATCCTGCACTGCATCAAATTGCAATTACACTAACTTACTTGGCACGGTGTAACACATTGCTGCACTACATCACACTGTCAGTAATGCATGTCTGCAAGCTGCCTTGTTTTTTTTTCCCCGAGCCAAGCCTCGCACTTGATGCTTTAATCTGCAGGTAGTGGCCTCACCTGAACCGCCAGGCACGATGCCGCGTCCGATACCAGAATCTGCTCACCTGAAACACAAGCGACGAAACGGCAGCGGGTTTTAACAAGAAATCCCCGCCGACTTCACACAGACTGGAAGAAACCCACGCTCGCTTTTTTTCAAATCTGTAATATGCCGACGACGACATAAAATATTTTGTTTTATTCTTCACGCAAGAAACGTTCCACAAAATGTTGCCGACGCACCAGCGTGGTTCGATTCATTTGCCGGAAACAAAGGCGTTTGGCACGCGGTCTCAAATTGCACCGAGAATCAGTTAGGAGATAAAATGGGATTGAACTACGCTGTGGAGATTGTCCAAATGGAATATGAGAACGGGCCAACCTTTTACAGTATTGCCAAGTACTACAGACATGTGCATTATCAGTATGTCAGTACAATATTGAACATAGCATCAACTGTCACTTCTGGCCTTATTACACTCACGAAGGGGCCAAAGCAGCTGACAGCCAGACTTTCACCCACTAACTGCAAGTGACAAGATTTTAATAAAATGTTGTGGCTGTTCAATATTGTTCGATGTTTGCTGAAAATATATTGTCACATAGCCGCATTAATAAAAAAGAAATACAAATCCTTTTTGACGTTATTATCTTTACGTAATGGTCAGCGAATATGTAGCCGGTTACAGAAAATGGTCCAACTTTTTTGTTATGTTTATAATATATACGGGCAGGTTATTTCAAACAAAATATTTTTGCATTACAAGTTATGAATTATAAGGTTAATAAAAAAAAATATATATATATATAAATATATTTAAATATTCAGGAAAGACTCACCAAATATTCTACGTTTCCTGCATTGGGATGTTTGACCTATTCCATTAATGAGGCAACACTTAAAGCTCCGCACAGATAGATTCATGAATCCATGACTGCACTGCCATCTCCTGGCGACTTTGATAAAAATGTTCCTGTGGTTAAAGCACATGCAATAAAAAATCTAACAGTTTCTTTGTGAACAAAGAAATGCCTGGTGCTGCAGAGTTGCTCAGATGTCAGAGGCACTGAGCTTGCACCGTCGAAACCCTGAATGAAATCCGGCTTTTCTGCTGCCTGCGTTTTTAAGTGGAGCGATTTGATTTGTCTCAGCCCAGTCGACCAATGACTGGCACGACAAAGGGTATGTTGTCACTTTATTTTTGTCGAAATTCCAGATGTTGAGAATTAAAACGACTGACTTGATCGGCGGCATGGAATAAACATTACTCTGTGTGTTGCAGGCCAGGTGTGGAGGTGCAAAGGTCCACACAGATGGGGTCACAGCACATTTTCTGCACTGCCACCTGCTGGCCAGCTCACAGCCTTGACACAGCATACAGAATCAGAAGAATCAGATGTCCAGTAGTTTCACAGATGCCCAGATACAAATATGCACCTCGTACTGTAGCACAGCTGGCTATATTTCCAGTGGAGGGCAAAACAATACTCCGACGCCTTTCCGGGTTGTACCGCGCGTACTGTCGAAGTAGCTCACAGCATGTGGCACGAGACGTCGGACAATCGTGCCTAACAACACACCACGGTACAACCCGGAAACACGTCGCAGAGCCGCGCGGCACGACTGCGAACAGCTACCCGGGTTGGAACAAACTCGACTGGCTGTGTGTTTGGATGGGCGCGCGTACCTCTCAGCGGCTGGTAAAAGGCAGCGTTCTCCGGCCACGGCTCGGCAGCTGGTCCACACACAAACAGAGAAACGCGTCGTTACAGATGACACGGCCCCGTTTGCTCCACAGAGCCTGCTGATCAGCATTTAGGCTTCCGGCACAATAACCGCAAGGAACGTTCAAGACAGCACGAAGGAAATACAAACCGACCACTCATATAGTTTTAAGAGTGAAGAAAAATCGAAGTTATATTGGAAAAAAAATAAACATTTGTTTTCAATGTGTACGGTCGAGAGGACTGTCGTCACTGCAATGCAACGTTTGGGTTAAACAGCGCACGTCCATTTTAAGCGTAAAGCGCAATGCGATCGGACACATGGCTGGATTTTTCATTTCATCCACAAAATGACTGTTTCCACTGAAATGTCAGCGAGGTTTTTTTTTTACGTTCCACAAGGCAGCTATAAAGGGGAGCCCCTTCGTCCAGCAGTGGATCGATCGCGGCTGCTCGATGACCTCTCACTCGCCCACGTGAGGAATCGCACCACGTCGGTTTGGCACGGGGGAAAAGCCTAGAACCACCGTTTAGCACAGACCCTCGCCTAATTTCACGTTGTTCGGGAAGAAAATTGTGCAAGAGGTGACCGGAGCCGTGTTCTCATGTATATACGTAGCCGGCCCATCCCATAATCCCAGCTATAAGCCCCACACCGGCTACATTTACAAATAACAAACACAGCCTATTATTTATTACCGATTTTTTTATTTTTACCAGGTAAGGCCCGCAGAGCTCATTTTTCAGAAGCGACCTAGCCACAAATGATAGCTCAACGAAGTGGATTGTCATGTGGGCATTTACAGCAGGCAAATACTCTAAAAGCATGTTTCTAAATGTGGAGGGAATAACCGCAGGACTCAGAGAAAAACCCACATGACCACAGGGAGAACATGCAAACTCCAAATATACAGGCGTCAGGGTTGAACCACCGACCTGCTACATACCAGGCGAGGGAGTTAAAATCTCGCCACCGTGGCACCCAAGACACAGACTCAATTATCAGAACACCTGAGCTAAGTGTAGGCTGTCAATATACATCCTGTGAGCAGTGCAAGCGATGTTACAGAAGTATCAAATGATTCCTTCTCTCTCGCGGAGATTATTGTGCAGAAGCTTAAATCTTTCACTGCAAGAAATGTTTTTCGTTTAATCAGATGAGAATTCAAGAGTCCATGATAGTCTCATTTGCAAGAGTGACCTGGGGCATTATTTTACCATCAGAGGGCGATGATTGCAATGTTATTGCATCATCACAATGTATAAATTTGCCTAATTTACAATCAAGTAATGTGATTGGTTAGGCTTGTGTGTGAATGTCTTGTTCTTGTCATCAGCTTCCCACCAGTGAGATTAATGCAAATCAACCGTTTAGGGTCGGACAAGCGGCCTTTTTGTACACGAGATAACATAAAATCATTAGAAAACAACAAAAATAAACATCGTCTCTCCTTGAGGTCGGGTGAACAATTTAAAATTTGTGAGCAATTAATTGGTCAGTCCTAGATTTACACGAATGGTTCTGTGAAACCGATTTTAACAAGCCCAGTTTATTTTCATTTCTCAAACAGGGTCGGTGGACCCAGCCAGGCGAGTGCTCCCAGGATTGTTGTATCACTTCCCTCACCCCCCCCCACCACAAATATTTCAACATCTCACGTCGTTTGTGAAAGAGAGATGAGCGAGGGGGAAGTACACGGGCATGCCGAATCACATAACTCCTTTAATGAAGACGCAAAGAAATGACATCAAAAGTACCCATAGAACTTTTTTTCATTAATATCCCCGAGGCAATGCTCACCCACCCCCCACAGGACCAGTCATAACAGCCACCTGAGACGAGGCGAACATACAAACTCACACCAAGTGATGTAATACTGCGACGCGAGACATAATGGTGATTCATTATCTATCCTGGCAGCAAATCAGCAACCACAAACTGCTTAGCGAGGGCACACATGGAAATAGGAAAATAAGTGATCATTGCGTGATTGAACGGCGCACCACCCTAGCCTAAAACTCAGCCACACGTGAAATGGATTCGCTATCTTCAAGGAAATGCTGTAATGAAATATTTCCCGTAATGAGATTAACGTGAAATGCTTCGTATTACTGAAGTCCAAAATGCTGCGTTTGGTTTTAAATATAACTTGCGAAGAGTAATAATTACGATGACGACAGATTGACCTTACGTTTGCAGAATAGGTTCAGGATATTATTTTTATGAATGCCAAAAACTTGCTTATCGCTTACCATATCAGAAACACAATTACCAAACGGCTAAAAGAGATAGTATATAATGACTTAGTCATAGAAGCTCCTTTGGCTACGTACGGTGCGAAATAAGTTCAACATACATACAGAAGGTGAATATTAATTAGTTTAAAATGTGATTATTACTAAAATTATAGATAACATAGACTCTATGAATATTGTCAAAGTTTATAAAAAGAGAACACATCCATGTGTACAGGTAATGAAATGCTCTCCCACTGAATTCTGGGACATCATTGGCCGTTTAATGAGGCATGAGCACAAACGCTGATCATGGTGAGGTTAGAGACCCCACGTGTTCAGAAAATCAATCACCCAGGACAGAGGGTAGGCGTGGCTGCAGCATAGGCAAGCGCTGTGCAGAATCATGAGCTACTGCACAGACTTAACAGACAGCTGGGGCAGGTGCCGTTAGCGAGCACATGTGAACGCTGGAACGGCACACGAGGAGGCGGGTGGCCAGCACCACGTCCGGCCGCCTTTGTCTCCCGACAGGCATTGTTTACACATCGCATCAGCTACTCATTTGAGGCCGAGTTGACCTAAGGGAGGCCAAGTACTGGTTCAGAAAATCCTCACTGATGTGGGCCGTGAGCGGGAATCGAACTCTGGATGCCGGCTTCGTCGTGCAGCGCGCTAACGACTGCGCCACCGCTCCCACCACAACATTTCGACACACACACACGCATGCCACCAACCACAATAAACACTGCACACTTACAGCACTGCACAGACGGGCACCCCACTCGCCACAACGGACAGAACATGACTACACGCAAGTCGGGTTCAACAACACCACACACATCACTCGTTCCTGTGTTCATCACGCGATCCCGTGGCCACAGTGGTTCTCTATGGGTGCCGTTATTCACTCGCGCTCACTCCAATTTCAATCGTGCGTAGGGCAATATTGTTGTGCCGAATGCCAATGTGGATGTCTGCTGGCCACGAGGGGGCTTCAGGGAGAGTCTGGTGTAGCGCTGACAAGTAGTGGTTTACAATACGGTTCAGAGTTTGGGTTACATGGCCAAAGCACTCCTGTGACTTGTCTTTAAAATACATCTCTATGTATCTCTAGGTGTCTCTACGGGTTTAATGTGTGGTCTGAAGGCTGGCATGCACGTCTTTTATGTCTCTATGGGTTTACTATCTGGTCCATAATTTGGCTTGCATGGCCACAATTACAAGCTTTGGCTTGTCTTTAATATACCGATATAGGTCTCGATGTATTTCGAGGAGTGTTTGTGTATTTGCACGTGTCTCCCTGGGTTTATTGTATGGTCCATAGTTTGGATTACATAGCCACAATCACACTACTGCAGTTTGTCTTTAATGTGTCTCTATGGGTTGCTGTATATGTATCTCTCGGAGTGTCTTTGTATCTCTATGCTTCCATGGATTTACTATATGGCCCCATAGTTTGGGAAACATGACCACAGTCGCACTACCCTGGCTTGTCGCTCACTCAATCACTGCAGCTCTTCTCTAGTAGCTACACTAAAATATTTTTTTATTTTACCAGGTAAGGCCCACTGTTGCTATATATCTTCTTTGTTCTTTCGGTAAAGTCACATAGAAGGGAAATAATACAATAATAAAAATTAAACATAATAAAATACAATTCTCACTTGTATTTAATTATGTATTTTATTTGTATTATTTTCTTTCTACGCGACTTTACCGAAAGAACCAAGAAGATGAATCCCTGCAGTCACGAACGCTTTAAATCGAAATTTGTTGCTATATAGGTCTTTTTTTAAACGACATGGCCACAAATGATAGCTTAACAAAGTGGCTGATGATTATGGAAATCTTGATTTGAAGCTTTCGTGACTGCAGGAATCCATACTCTTTGGTTCTTTCGGTAAAGTCACGCAGCTAAAAAATATAACAAGATGTGAAAATTGTACAACAGCCAGATCATCTAAACGCAAGTTTCATCTAAATGTGGAGAGAGGCAAAACCCAGAGGACCCCGAGAAAAATCAACGCGACCACGAGGAGAGAGAGAGACACGCAAACTCAAAATATACAGCAGTAGCAGGCGTCAGGGACGGGGACAAACCCACGACCTCCTGTGTACCAGGCGAGGTAGTTAACATCTCCTAGCCACCGTGATGATGATGAGAGACACGCAAACTCAAAATATACAGCAGCAGCAGGCGTCAGGGACCGGAACGAACCCACGACCTCCTGTGTACCGTGATGATGATGAGAGACACGCAAACTCAAAATATACAGCAGCAGCAGGCGTCAGGGACCGGAACGAACCCACGACCTCCTGTGTACCACGCGAGGTAGTTAACATCTCCTAGCCACTGTGATGATGATGAGAGACACGCAAACTTCAAATATGCAGCAGCAGGCTACAGTACGAGACAAGGATACAGTACGAGACAAGGGTACAGTAAGACAAGGGTACAGTGAGACAGGGGTACAGTGAGGCAGGGGTACAGTGCGAGGCGCTTGTACAGTACGGGACACGGGTACAGTGCGGAGACAAGGGCGCGGTGCTTCCACTGGTACAGTATCGATGCGCGTACAGTCGACGAGTACAGTGCCAGGCGCTTACCCGCCATCTGGTTGACGAGGCTCTCCGCGGCCAGCATCGCAGTATCCTGAGACTCACCCTCTCCTCTTCGCGGGCCGAGGGACGAGTGGGGGTAACACGAGAGGGAGAGACACGGGGGGAGGGAGAGACACGGGGGGGGGGGGGGGGGGCACGGGAGGGGGAGAGACACGGGGGGAGGGGGGGCACGAGAACACGGCGGGCAGGGCGCGTGGGGTGTGTGGTTAGGAGGGGACCGTGTGGGGAAGAGACTCGATGTGGTATGCGAAGCGACGGAAGCGCACGCCGAGAGACACGCGGAGAGACAGAGACACGTGGGAGAGTTCGATACGGAGAGACAGAGAGAGACACGTGAGAGAGAGACAGAGGGAGACAGGGACACGTGAGAGAGACACACACACAGAGAGACCGAGACACGTGAGAGTGAGACAGAGGGAGACACGGGGAGAGAGAGACACGGAGAGACAGGGACACGTGAGAGAAATACACACAGAGACACAGAGAGAGACACGGGGAAAGACACAGAAAGACACGGAGAGTGAGACACACGGGATAGTGACTCGGATTCGCCAAGGACACGCCGGGGCCGCTCCCACAATACCCCGCGCGAGGACTTCCGCTCGGCCGCGTGACCCCCGCACGCGCCGCGCGCCGGGGTCACGCGGTCGATCACGTGCTCAGCGAGATATCGAGATTGGAAGAGAAGATATCAATTATAGATTTGAAGCTTTCGTGACCGCAAGGATTCATACTCTTAGGTTTTTTCGGTAAAGTCACGTAGGTAAAAATAAAAATAATAGAAATAATAATAGAAATAAAATAATTAGCCGTGCCTTTTTTACACCTGATGAAGGCAGCTTGTGTTGCCTCCGAAACGTCGTGATTTATTATTTTATTTCTATTATTATTTCTATTATTTTTATTATTTATTTTTATTTTTACCTACGTGAATTTACCGAAAAATCTAAGCGTAAGATATCAATTGTGAATCACAATGAGAATATTGAGTCACAACAACAACAACCGCCATTCGCCACTAAGTGGCGGTGACGTCACCACGGCGCTTTGGCCAGGCTAGGAGGCCGTCCATAAATGACGTCACGCGATTTTGGACGATTTTTGACCCCCCCCCCCCCCATCGTCACACGGCGTCACAAAAAAGTCAGACCCCCCCCTCAAATATGACGTCACACAGCTCTGCCCCCCCCCCCCCCAAAACAAAATAAAACATGCTTCAAATTGCTTTTAACTATTGTCATTGTAGTGGGTATTTAATGTGCCGCTGCACTCTGATGTTGTAGGAGAAAACATTTATCAAAAACTATTTAATTAAGTAAAACGTGTTGTCTATACTGTATTTATTTAAAGTTGCGCATTTTTATGTGACGTCACATTTCTCAAACCCCCCCCGCCCCTCGTCACACGTCACAAATGTCTGACCCCCCCCCCCCTAGGTGTGTGACGTCATTTATGGACGGCCCCTAAGTGGCGGTGACGTCACCACGGCGCTTGTGCCAGGCTAGGTGCACGTTGAGGCCACGTCAAGTGTCGAACGCCCGCTGGGCAGGAGGTCACGGGGCAGACCCAGTATAGATGCCACGGGTCGACCGACTGAGTAGTACTGACACACACCCAACCCCCCGGCACCCCGAGGTGACACGTGTGTGACACGTGTGTGCCTCGCTTTGTGGGAATTCAACAGTTGAGCCCGTAGCCGTGGATGGATCTAACCCGTCGATGTAACGTGGAATTTCCACCGCTGGTGTATGGGCCCGTGATGATGTGCATGGTCCTCGTGCTCACTGAAAATTAAAATGTTTTTAATTTTACCAGGTAAGCGCGAGAGAGGAGTGGGGAAGGAGGAGCGGGGGAGGCTCCGCTTTTGATGTCGTTTAGGGGCCTGTCCATAAATGACGTCACGCAATTTTGGACGATTTTTGACCCCCCCCCGCCTCGTCACACAGCGTCACAAAAAGTCAGACCCCCCCTCAAATATGACGTCACAAAGCTCTGCCCCACCCCCCCAAAATAAAACATTGTTCAAATCGCTTTAAACTATTGCCATTGTAGTGCGTATTTAATGTGGCGCTGCACTCTGATGTTGTAGGAGAAAACATGTATCAAAAAGTCTATTTAATTAAGGAGAACGTGTTGTCTATATTTATTTAAAGTTGCGCATTTTGATGTGACGGCACATTTCTCAACCCCCCCCCCCCTCGTCACACATCGTCACAAATGTCTGACCCCCCCCAGGTGCGTGACGTCATTTATGGACGGCCCCGAAGGCCCACTGAGCTCTGTAGCTATTTTTTCAGAAGCGACCTGGCCACGTGTGATATAGCTCAACGAAGCGGCTTATCGCGTGGAAAGTTAACAGCAGCTAACTACTCTGAACGCGTGTTTGTAAACCCGCAGGAGCCGGAGAAAAATCCACGCGTCCACGGGCAGAGAGACATACAAATTCAAGATGTAACAGGGTGTCAGGTAGGGCTGAACGATTAATCGATTTCAAATCGAAATTTGAAACAATGTGAGTAGCAAATCGCATTATCTGTCAGAAAAATCGCAAATAGATATTTTCCCCAAATCGTTCAGCCCAAGTGTCGGGGTCCGGATCGAACCCACGACATTCTGTGTACCAGTTAGTTATCAACTCGCCACCGTGTCGCATGGAATCATCAGCATCGCTGAAGCTCACATCGTCACATACTACCTCCCTGGGAATTCAACAGTAGCTCATCTCCATGGATCGACCTAACCCGTCTAAGGAACGTGGAATTCCCACCACTGGTGTAACCCCGGTGATGAGCGCAGTCCCCATGATCACTTGAGCATAGAGACACCCTGACTCCTCGCAGCGTGTACACAAATAGTACACAGTAGTAGTAGTACCCGCCGAATCATCAATATTCTATCTGTTACGCCGAAAGTGGTGATCCAGGTGTGTGATTGTGTTGGGGTCACGTGTTGACCTCTCTGTGCACGGAGACGCAGCACGAGTGTCCCATACCCCGCTCTACACATGTCATCTCCCCCTCTCATCTCCCCTCTCCATCTACCCTCTCATCCCCTCTAAACCTCGCCGCGGAGGGGAGGGGCCGGGGTGACCCCCCCCCCCCAACACACCCGCCCCCCTGGGATGCCCTCTTCACTCCTCGCGTACGCGCAGAGGAATCTCGGCTGTGCCGCGTGGGGTCGCTCTCTATGCCCCGGCGTGAGGACCGTGCGAGAGGGGAGCGCGTATACTCTCAGACACGTGTACCCATAGTGTACTCTGCCACGTGTACCCATAGTGTACTCACCCACGTGCACCCATAGTGTACTCACCCACGTGCACCCATAGTGTACTCAGACACGTGTACTCACAGCCCCGCTCACCCACTTGTACCCATAGTGTACTCAGTCACGTGTACTCACAGCCCCGCTGACCCACGTGTACCCATAGTGTACTCACCCACGTGTACCCATAGTGTACTCACCCACGTGCACCCATAGTGTACTCACCCACGTGCACCCATAGTGTACTCAGACACGTGTACTCACAGCCCCGCTCACCCACTTGTACCCATAGTGTACTCAGTCACGTGTACTCACAGCCCCGCTGACCCACGTGTACCCATAGTGTACTCACCCACGTGTACCCATAGTGTACTCACCCACGTGCACCCATAGTGTACTCAAACACGTGTACTCACAGCCCCGCTCACCCACTTGTACCCATAGTGTACTCAGCCACGTGTACTCATAGTGTACTCACCCACGTGCACCCATAGTGTACTCAGACACGTGTACTCACAGCCCCGCTCACCCACTTGTACCCATAGTGTACTCAGTCACGTGTACTCACAGCCCCGCTGACCCACGTGTACCCATAGTGTACTCACCCACGTGTACCCATAGTGTACTCACCCACGTGCACCCATAGTGTACTCAGCCACGTGTACTCACAGCCCCGCTGACCCACGTGTACCCATAGTGTACTCACCCACGTGTACCCATAGTGTACTCACCCACGTGCACCCATAGTGTACTAAAACACGTGTACTCACAGCCCCGCTCACCCACTTGTACCCATAGTGTACTCAGCCACGTGTACTCATAGTGTACTCACCCAAGTGCACCCATAGTGTACTCAGACACGTGTACTCACAGCCCCGCTCACCCACTTGTACCCATAGTGTACTCAGTCACGTGTACTCACAGCCCCGCTGACCCACGTGTACCCATAGTGTACTCACCCACGTGTACCCATAGTGTACTCACCCACGTGCACCCATAGTGTACTCAGCCACGTGTACTCACAGCCCCGCTGACCCACGTGTATCCATAGTGTACTCAGTCACGTGTACTCACAGCCCAACTCACCCACGTGTACCCATAGTGTACTCAGCCACGTGTACTCACAGCCCCGCTGACCCACGTGTACCTATAGTGTACTCACCCACGTGTACTCACAGCCCCGCTGACCCACGTGTACCCATAGTGTACTCACCCACGTGTACCCATAGTGTACTCACCCACGTGTACCCATAGTGTACTCACCCACGTGCACCCATAGTGTACTCAGCCACGTGTACTCACAGCCCCGCTCACCCACTTGTACCCATAGTGTACTCAGCCACGTGTACTCACAGCCCCGCTGACCCACGTGTACCCATAGTGTACTCAGTCACGTGTACTCACAGCCCCGCTGACCCACGTGTACCCATAGTGTACTCAGTCACGTGTACTCACAGCCCCGCTGACCCACTTGTACCCATAGTGTACTCAGCCACGTGTACTCACAGCCCCGCTGACCCACGTGTACCCATAGTGTACTCAGTCACGTGTACTCACAGCCCAACTCACCCACGTGTACCCATAGTGTACTCAGCCACGTGTACTCACAGCCCCGCTGACCCACGTGTACCCATAGTGTACTCACCCACGTGTACCCATAGTGTACTCACCCACGTGTACCCATAGTGTACTCAGGCACGTGTACTCACAGGCCCGCTCAGCCACGTGTACCCATAGTGTACTCAGCCACGTGTACCCATAGTGTACTCCCCCACGTGTACTCACAGCCCCGCTAACCCACGTGTACCCATAGTGTACTCAGACACGTGTACTCTTCATTCACGTGTTCTCATCATCCACGTGTGCTCATCGTGTACTCATTACCCACGTGTACTCATGGTGCATGTGTACTCGTTACCTGCGTGCACTCGTAGCGTACTCATTTCCAGCGTGTACTTACAATGTGAGCACTACACACGTGTACTCGTATTGTGCTTATCACACACGTGCACTCACAAACCATCTGCACTCATAACTCGCGTGTACTCATCACCCACGGATTCATTGTGTATATTGCACTTCTTTCGCACCGTACGTAGCCAACACGTGTACCCACACACCATGTTTACTCATCACTCGTGCGTGCTCATCACCCACATGTACTCCACCCCGCCCCTTGCCACCGCTTCTAAGAAACCCCTCAGGGTCCCCATAGAACCCCTTCATGAACAATTCCCTGGCAGGAACCCTCACCGACTCTTCCAAGTGACACCAGTGACACCAGCCCCATCCAACCCCCTCGCCCACACCCCCCCTCCCCCTCCAACTTGTCTGCCCACT